TGGCTGGTTATAATGGCGGATAAATGAGGTCATAAGTCCTAAAAGTTCTAGTTATGGGATGAATACGTATAGTTACCCCAAACCCCTAAGCCCTACCCTGTACGTAAGCCCAAGCCCAAGCCGTAAGCCCTAAAACCTTCTTTGGCAGTTCCCACGCATCGGGAGGGACCCCATTATTACATAGACCATACAATAATTCAAATCAAATCCTTCTTATGGGTACCCGAAACAAGTGACCAGAATTTCGGAAACTCTTGTTTACGGCATGGCATGCCCTAAGGGTCCAAGTACCTACCTGGGGCGGAGGGCTTCCTAGGGAGTATATGAGCTCTAGTCTAAACTCCTTAAAGCGGGGTTATATAGGGGATTATATAGGAGGACTACTATAGGGGTTATTAAGGGCGATACTAGGAGTTTAGACTATGGCTCATATAGGGGTTTAGGGCTTAGGGCCCAAAACCCTTGACAACAGCCCAAAATGCCATTATCTTACGTACTTCTGGGGTTCAGGTAATGAATAATCACCTACTTACCCAAAACCAATATTATAATTACTATTACTCAAAACCCAAGTACCAATTATTGGGTACATGGACCCTAAACCCTAAATCCCAGATACCCTTATATACCCCCTCCAAAGGCACCCAATAATGTCAAGAGTAACTTGATCTCGGAAAGTAGGCTTGCAGATGTTACACTTGAAGCGTGTTCATGCTCCGTGTTGGCTCAAAAAGCTCTACGAAACCCTAAACTGGGATGCTGTTAAGGAACTCTATTTCAATTACTTTATTGAGGAAACCCTATAATTTTCGTTATAGATACATATACCCATCATGGTAACTTAAGTTCCGTAACAGCAACCCCGTAAACCCTAAACCTCAGCGAAAAGGCAGGATAGAACTCAAAAAGGGCGGGCACCCGGGCTCCAGATTAAGAAGCCCCAAACCCTAACCCTAAGAGTTTAAGGTTGAGGCTGCCCCAGGGGTCCAAATAGCCCACCGCAGGTACTATTTGTAGACGTTATGATTCATGGACATGGGCCCTAGAGTGTGTACATGAATACTTCAAGATTCCGATTGCAAGTGTAGATGTTGAAGGCTTTCTTTTCAAATTTATACGCAAGGAGGGTCCGGTTGGCATCACTGTTGTGCTGGTTATCCGCAACTAAACCCTAAACCCTTAACCTAGGTTGCGGGATCTTGACAAATTACTTCCTAGAGGATCCTAAATGCGAGTTGCACGAGTCTCCTGGTATTACTCTGTATGTTCCCGGGGGGTCCCTGGGGTACCTGTCTTTAGACCTACCCGGAATGCCTTTTCTTTTTCGCCTTGATGCTGAGCCCGCCTTGGACGGCGGGTTGATCCTGTGGGTTTGTGAGTTTAGGGTTTATAGGGTTTAGGGGTATAGGGTTTAGGGTTTAGGGTTTCTGTGTTGACCTTCGTGGCAGGGTAGCTTCCACTGAGGTTTGTGTTCATTGATGACAACAGCTTCGTGACTTGCCAGAGGATTCTGACACCCCAGGGTTTAGGGGTTTTGACCTCGGGTTTCTGAAGTCTCCTTAGGAATGATTCTCAGTTTCTATTCTAGTAGAACTATAACCCTAAGGAATCATTGAAAGTAGTACTTTTATTATAGGTCTAAGGCGACTACAGGTTTAGGGTTTACCCAGGGTTCAGGGGTTTAGCCCATCGGGCCACGGTACGTGCTTTTGTGTCCAGATGGGTTCCAGAACAGACGCGTCATCCTAGCTGCGTAATCGGACCCTTCACGACAATGATTCTTCATCACTGCTGGTGCAGAAAACACCCGCATGATCTACTAGAGTAGCGCAGTTCTCAAGGGTTAGGAAGATAGGGTCATGCAGAATTTTGACCTTCAAATGACCTAATGAGGTCCCCACATGTCAGAGTCATTAAAGCGTCTACATGAAATCCAAATCCTGAATCCCAAGCTTGTACCCCAAACTCTAGCCACTGTTATTTGAAGATTGCGGCCGCTGATGTAGAACGGCTACTGCCTGCTTGTTTGCGTTGGTGATCTCATCCTGGTTATGTTCAGGTGCAGCGGCAAAGATGTAGGACTTACAGGTCCTAATATCTATCCTTTCGCGTTCAGGGCCTAGGGTTCAGGGCTCAGGTTTTTACGGTGTAGGATGCTTCAGATTTACCCACTGACCATTGGACCATTGCTCAGGCACCGTGCTTTGCTGCTCCAGCGTCCTGCAGGAGTAGAGGTTGTCAAGGCGCTTGCCCCCCAAAACAGGGGGCCTTCTACCGCGAATGAACAGGGATCAGAGGTTATCAAGGAGTTTCCCCAAAAAAGAGGTTTCCGATATTCAAACTCGTCTGGGGATGATGAGTCTTGGGCTCCTTACGGGTACGAAGCCGGACATTTTGAGAGACTGCAGTCTGATCCTGGCATTTACACTGAGGAAATTGCTGACGTCCGCCATTCCCTGCCGGAGGTCTACACCATCCACGTACCAGGAGCCAAAGCCTTAAACCCCAAACCCCAAACTCTAGAGCTTCAGCTATGGTATAGGCCCTGAGGGTCCACTGAGGGGCGTAACCGCTCTGGGTCACAAGAAGCTACTATGTGGGTAGCAGGAGCAGCAGGGAAGGTAGCGGCAGGGTATAACAATTTGTCGTCAAGACATGCGCGCTGAAGTCAATGTGGCAAAGCTCTAACTCCACACGTCATGGATTCCCAAGCTACTAACGCCGACCCTCCAACTACCTTCTGTTATGGCCTAGGTTTTGCTTTTGGTGGGCCAAGAACCGGAATTACGTAGGTATGGGGCAGTGTCTTGGAAGGTAGAACTCAGCTGCGACGTTTTGAGCCCGAACCCCTTTGACACAACGCCCCAACTCCTCACTTGCCAAATCCCTAGCCGAGTCTGCAGGCTCAACCAAAGGCCTTACCTGAATCTCCAATGTATATAAGATACTGGCCCTCTGGGCTGCTTTTAAATGTTGTTGGCCGTTAGTTTACCTACTTTGGGGGTTCAGGTAAACCCTAAATGGGTAACCTTCTAAGGGTCCAAGGACCCAAATAATAGGGTTTTAGGTCCCTAATACCCCATTAATTGAGTCATTGGACCCTGAAAGACCCTGAACTCACATTCTTTTCGAGAAAAGGAGATGCGGAAACCTTTGCGGGTGCTCTCCGGCACTGGTGGGTCCTTCGCATTGAAAGTTCCGCTGCGGGTATTTGGATAGTTCAAAGAATCAGGGTCCTGCTTGGGTATCCCTAGTGAGTAGGTGCCGTAATAGAATCTATTGTTAAACGGGGCCCATTTTTTTTAGAACAACCCATTTCTCAAAATAAGCCTCTTCTGTCCAATTTAGCTTAACCCCATGCAGCCTCTTGTCCGGATTGCTTTTCTGGTCTGAAAGTCCGAAACCAAGGGTTTAGGGTTTAGGGTTTAGGGAAGGTGGACTAAAATTGATGACACTAGCCAAGTAGCTCATGCACCAAGCCAGAGGGTCCAAGTACCCAAACTAGGTACTTGGGTTTAGGGTAATAGTAATGATAGTACAAGTTTTGGGTAAGTATATGATTATTAGGTACTTGGACCTTCAGGGCAAGTACAACTTTAACTTACGCATCCTACGTCAGCTAGAGGTTGCAAGGCTCCCCTGAGCCCATGTACCCAAATAGTACATTTTTGCGGTCCAAGGTGTTCATTTCGGGACCCCTTCTAAATTTGCTTAAAAGTTCATACCCCCAAAGGATCCGAATAGCCCAGAGGACATACTTTTGACAAACATCAGTGCCCAAAGTAGGTATGTCTTACAGACTTAGTTTCCCATGGTGCGGATAAGACATCTGGACCCTCTGGGGCTGTACGTCGCCCGCCAACCTGATACAAGTTTAATTGGAGTTTAGGCTAAAACAGCCCTTCTCCTGAATGGCGAGTACTCAGTACTCAGCTGTTTCATGCAATGGTACTATGAAGGGTACATGTCCTCAATGCGTTTAGAACGTATTTAGAGGCTACTAGCCCAAACTATACCATACCACTAATTCCAGAGACCCTACTTTATGCTTTATAGTTAGATACCCAGGATCCTTTGGTTTTAGGATTTGAGGTTGAGGTTTGGGGAATTAGGGGGTGGAGGGTGTCAATACTTAGGGGGCCGATTAGGTGCTGGATGCGTTCGTCGGCAGGGCTCAGACAAAGGAGGACGCTCGTCGCACGGAAACCTGGCAGCCAGTTCTAAGAGGGCTTCGCACAGGGGACAGGTATGGTAGTTTCCCCAAACAGGGCGGCCCCCCAATGTAGACCCCCAAATATTCTAGTCCTCTTTACTGGGACCCCCTAGAAGGTACCCCTAATTTTGGGAACCCTCCCAAAAGTACTTGAATTTCTGAAAGAGGAGCCGTTGGGATCCGAAGGACTGGTTATTAGGAGATTATGGGCGTGGTCTTTTTCCACAGATTATATAGGGATTACATTGAGAAACTATCACAGTTGCATAACATATGCGTTTCTAAGGGGATTATGGGTGACTTCATGAGGGAAACTTCAGCGGTTCTTTGTAGCAGTACCCATACCGAATAGACTTGGGATACAAACAGGGTCCTATCCAGGTTTATAAAGATGTTGGTACTTTGTCACAGGGGTGTATGCCAGCTCGGACGTGGTTCTGGATAAGGTCCCCGGACATCATCACAGTACAAATATCCTATCCATAGACACCTCAAATATCCTGGAATAGTGGCCCATATGCACATGAATTTGGATGATTTTGGATGCTTGTTTATTTTGCGGGTAAGTCCCTTAAACCCTGAACCCTAAAACCCTGAACCCCTGAACCCCTGAACCCCTAAACCCTAGGTAGCCTGTCAAGTCGCAATCTGAAGTTGTAATCCCGAGAAATCTAAGGGTCCAAGGACCCAAAGAATAGGGTTTTAGGGCCCAAATACCAGTAATATTCTAGTACTTGGGCCCTAGAACCCCATTATTTGGGTCCCTGGACCCTTAGGAAAATCTAAGGAGCTTTATCGCAACAACGCAGCACGCCGCGCAGAGAAGGACATGCAAGACACTTCCCACATACGCCTCATCAGTTTAGGATTTCAGGTGTAGGGTTCAGCGGAGTTCGGGCCTGTGCCGAGAGCCCTTTGGGCTTCCATGTTTGTTCGGGAGACTGTTCATTCGACGGATCCCAAGACGGGCTTGATAAATCTGGCATTTTTCAGGGTTAAGGGCTTGGGGTTTAGGGGTTTAGGGTTTAGGGTTGTTGGGTTCAGCTTAGGTCTTATTCAATTTTCAACAAGGGCCTTGTTGATTGTGTGGCAGGCAAAATTGCCGGCAGCGCTGCTCCCAAAAGAAGGGCCCACTATAGGAACCATACTGAACCAGGAAGCCCGATGGAAGGACCCTGGTTTCATAGGGTTATGTGCTTCAGGACGCCCATGCAGATACCAAGGTTTGTATTCATATATATATATACATATACATGCATAGAGGCTCTCAGGGCCACGGACGATCAAAAGCCAAGATAGGCTGATTCATGCTCTTCCTTTTCAAGCGCGAGATGAAGGTTTCCAAAACTCAGGGGTGCATTTTTGGGGCTCCCTATTACAAGGATTCTCGTTTGTTGGGGTCGCAAGCTGAAGTGATGGAGCCCTCGTCGTGGATGCGGAGCAGTACTGTTGCCGTTTCTGCTGTGCCTCCTTTTCCTCTGCTTGGGGTACATGGTAAATCTTGGGTACTGCCCCCCCTCAGTAACAGTTGGATAATAATCCCCAGGACCAACTAAGATAGCGAGGCTAAAAATGCACTTGCTCACAACAAGTACTTCTCTGGGGTCTTTTTTGGGGATCCCATGTATGGAAACCCTCAAGGCTGTTCCGCCCCGCAATAGCTCGTCCTTGCACCTTTGACTGTTGACAACCTGAAAGCGCAGGCCCGAAGGCTTGTGGGTTAGGGCTTTGCGGCCGCCATTCAAATGTTCCAAAAACGTTCTGGGATATCTAGTAAAGCCTCGGACTGCAAAGGTTCAGGGAGTGTTGCCCAGCGGTTCCTAAGCAAAGTACGGGCATTTCTCACAAGCATCCTTAAAATTTAGGGCCTGCGGCACTGGCCGGCCTGGCCGCCGCCCCCTTGCCCACCCAGCTCTGTTACCTGGAATGTTTTTTTAGGTTTGAAGACCCTGTTCTCTCTAGCTAACTTGAAAGCGGCCAAAAATGGGGTCCCAATTGTGCAGCTGATGTTCCTGTACGAGGCGCGCGATTTTGTTTTCAGGGCCCTCAACCCCCGAACCCCAACATCCTGCACTTGAGCTGAGTTCTTACCAACGTCTAAACCCTAAACCTTACACCCTGAACCTCAAGCCCTGTGTCCTATACCCTAAACCCCTGAACCCTAAAACCCCAAAACCCTAAACCCCTGAACCCTAAAACCCTAAACCTTCAACCCTAAACCCTAAACCCTAAACCTCAAACCTGAGCCCTAAACCATAAAGCTTAAGCCCCTGAACCTAAATCCTGAGCTCGAGGAGCGGCACAGTTCTTTGGAGACTTTCGTGGAATCACTCCGGGCCTTTTGTCGGGATTTGGGTTTAGGGCTTAAGGTTGTTTAAGGTTGTTTAGGGCTTAGAGGTTTAGGGGTTAAGGTTGTTTAGGGTTTAAGGTTGTGTAGGGTTTGTAGGGTTTATGGGGTTTAAGGATTTAGGGGTTTAGGGTTCACGGGTGTAGGGGTTTAGGATCTAGGGGTTTACGGGCTTAGGGGTTTAGGGATTAGGGGTGTAAGGGGTTTAGGGTTTAGGGGTTTGGGGTTTACAACTTGGGTAAGCCTGCCCCAAGCATCCAAGTTCGGGTGTGGGGGTGAAGGGTGGAGATCTATAATGAGAGGATTCGGTAACCCCACCCCCTGAAAGAAGGTCCCTGGAAGACATGCTATAGGTTTGGTGTTTCCTATTTCGAGGGTTGGGGTTGCCAAAACCTTCTTCTCAGTGCAGGGCTCAGGAAACTTAAGCGTTTGGGCTTTAGAGTGTAAGGTCCCTAGCCCAAACTGGCATGGAACCGATAGATACCCCCTTTTGAAAGGACAGTGGTCTTTACAGGGGCTCCATCTTACTTGGGGCAGGTAGATTTGGAGTGAGGCTTCCAGAATCTTCTTGTGCCTGCTACCAAAAACCCTAAATCTTAAACCTTGTAGAGAACCGTATGCGCTCCTGTAAATTCTATGTTGGCCTAGCCTGCATATATTTAGGGAGAGGATGCTGGATCTTGCTGCAATGGGAATGATGAGTTTCCGAAAGCTATCCTTATGCGACCGATCCCAAAATGTCCTTGTAGTCATTCTATATCCCTAGGGCCTTTTAGGCTAGCCTTTTAGGATACCCCCATTTAAGCCCTACAGATATATGAGTAGTATCTTATTTGGGGAGACTATGGTACCCAATATAGAGTAAGATTATATCCTCCTTTTGGATATAGTATTTTCTATAGAGAATGTAATCTTACTAGATTAAACCACCCAAAAAAACACTACTCATTTAAGCCCTACAGATATATGAGGTTAGGTACATCAGCAGGTTTCTAGCGAGGTCCAGGCCTTGAATCCTAAGCCCTAAGGGTCCAGGTACCCAATAATCAGAAACTTGGTGTTTTGGTAATAGTAATTGTAGTATTGGTTTTGGGTGAGCATATGGATATTAAGTACTTAGACCCTTAGGGAAGCTTATAAACCTCAAGCTACAAACCCGAAGCCAGCTCTCAACTAAACCCGCTTAGCCTTACTAGAGTCAACAGTACACGTGACACACTATATAACCCAGAAATGTATATGCCCTAATATACCAGAGTAGTTTCGATTTTATTTTCCATTATCCTTATTTCCTCCTAAAGCCTGACAGCGCTAAATCTTTGAATCCAGAGCTCTACATAAACAAAATCCTAAGCCCCAACAGGTGGAAGAAAAGGCGGTACAAAAAAAAGGAACGAGAACCCCAAGAGTAGGTAAGATAATAGCCCCAAAGACCTAAATATAGAGCAAAAGGCCATTATCGTACATATTGTTGGGTTTAGGAATTTCCCTGCTGTTCCCACAGGTCTGCGTCGACGTGCGGGAGCCTCGAGATGACGACACGAGTCGCGTGAGCCAAATCTCGATGAGAGCCTCTTCTGAAGCGGCTTTAGGTTGCATAGCTCTTAGTCCCAAAGGGTCCATGTACCCAATAATTAGGTACTTGGGTTTTGGGTATTAGTAATTACAGTACAGGTATTGGGTAAGTATATGATTATTGGGTACTTGCACCCTTAGGGAGTGTTTTGGGGTATATGGGTGGTTGTCAAAATTATGGTCCCTTTTTGGATCCCTGTTATAATACGGCACCTAATATTTAGGGTACCCAAAAAGGGACCATGATTGTGAGAACCACCCATATAAGGCTTTATAGTTTTCTTTTGGCTTTATGGCATTCGAGTTATGATTAGGGGTTTGGGGCTGTATGGTTCTGGGTTTTGGTAGTTTTTTTGGGCTCAGGCCTTAAGGGTGGATAGGGCTTTGCGGTTCTACGGAGCTACTAACCCAAAGGGTCCATGTAGTTACATAGTCTGATCTAGGGCCCAAAGGTGTTGCCATGTACCTACTTCAGGGCCCGAGTATATACTATACAGCCACACGGACCCTTTGGGTCAGTCCTCCATAATCTTCTGATCCTGCACTCCCAGAATTGCATGCCATTATTGACTGTTTGAGGTTGTGCATCGGCAGTTCTAGAGGTAATCCTATTCATTCTCTAAACACGGGTACAGAAACCCAGGTTTTCGATGTTTTCCAATTCCAAGGGCATTCTACTCTAGTTCGGCTTTAGGGTCACGAGATTTCGCATTACTTTTGGCATATGAGCTAGAGTCTAAACTTCTTAAGGGGGGCTATGTAGGGGATTATGCAGAGGATGACTTTGGGGGTTATTAAGGGGGATCCTAATTAGGAGTTTAGGCTATGGCTCACATGTATTTTCTTATTTGCAGGGAGGCATCGGTTTGGCAATGGTGATTCAGTTTGGATTCTTTCCGAGGGCTGAGGCCTAAGGTTACCGAATCAAGTATGCCAAGAAGAAGGCAAAAATTCAACCGCAGCAAAGTAGGAAGAATTTTCATAGGATCTTTGCTGCTCTCTGGTTCATTTTCAAACCCTGCAGCAAGGGTGAAGATTGAGCCACCTACCGTTTGATCCCTTGTTTGCGGGCCAATGTCCCACATGCGGATGTGTACAAACCCTAAACCTTAAGCCCTCCAGGAGCCTTATCTTGGGAACCTTCAGATCCGTTTCACCCTAGACCCTCCAACTACCCTCTACAATGCTCTACTTTGAGGTCCGTTTTGTTTATAACCGACATAATAACTGTAGTTCTGGGGCTTATAATTAGGTTATAACTGCAGTTACTAAGTAGGTTATAAGTACAACGGACCTCCAAGTAACCATCCAGCAGAGTCCGTGAAGTTGTAATAAGGATCCCCGAAGGGTCCAAGTACCCAATTATCATTTGCTTACCTGAAACTCGCACTACAATGTTTACTCCCCAAATCCCAATCCAAATTATCTAGTTATTGGGTACTTGGACCCTTAGCGAAATCAGAATATGTATGTAACTGTTTTACGGCTGCCATGCGCTTCCCAGTTACTTTACAAAGCGTGCAAAGAGGCCTTTTTGGCGCGTAGGCGCAGTCGCCATATGTAACTGTTTAGGGTTTAGGGTTTAGGGTCATCTAGAGCATCCCACCCTGTAGCCTCCATTAAATGTACAGAGGGGTGTCTTGGATGAATCGTGAGATTCTCTACTCCACCTCTCCTATACTACCCCCTGAGTTCCCCCTTCATTCGGGTTTTTGGAGTTATAGCTAGGGTTACTTAAAGTCAACTCAGGGAGCATCGGGGGGGTTAGAAGAGGCAACCCCCTAATGATGCTCTTCTGAAGTGCATTTCTGTTCGGGTTCGATCACATGAGCTCGGAATGGACAGGTAAGCAAGGGTAGGGTGTAGTTATTGCCCTTAATCTCCATCGAATCCTTACAAAGCTACAAAATCCAATTTTTACTGAGGCCCCAAACCTACCTGGTAAAGGGGACTCCTGTTTCGAAAAATGCGAAGCGAGCTGTTGGAGAGGAACAAACCAGTTCAACACCACCCAGATGCGCTTCAATGAGCAGCAGGTGAAGCAACTCCGCTATTGATTTGTAGGGTTTCGGGTTTAGGGTTCAGGGTTTAGGGTTTAGGGTTCAGGGTTCAGCGTTTAGGGTTTAGGGTTTAGGGTTCAGCGTTTAGGGTTTAGGGTTCGGGGTTTAGGGTTTAGGGTTACGGGTTTGGAGGGCTTTTGGTACCCCCAACCCCAAAACTAGGAACTTATGATAATCATATGATTGCTATAGGGTCCTAAGTTTGGGG